CATGCTGCGCCGGGCCCATGTCCTGAGTCTGGCAAACCGTCTATGCAGCCCTCACCACCACATCCCGGCCCCCTCATCAAATCCCTGGACTCTGCACGTACTTCTACTGCTCGAGGATCCAAGTCCACTGCGAGGAAAACGCTCCTAAAGGAAGCAGTCCTCAGGCGAAAGAACTGCGGTCCACCAGGCCATGTTGGCCTGTTCCCCTTCTTTGACCACCAGTGCAGCAGCCTCAGACGGTGTAAGGCGATCCATCACACCGACCGCCCACCTCCACCGGGTCAGCAGCAGCGCCCCAGAAGCCAGCCCCTCTCACCGCTCCCAGCGTCCCCGAGCACACAGCGTGGGTACCGCCTGTAGAGTGAGAGTCTGCACCCCCGCTTCCTCCTCTCCCCATGGTGTTCAGCGGCGCTCAGCTCGGGTCCTGCCTTCGGGTGAACCCGCTGTTCCGTCCACCGAGCTCCTTCTCCCGAGGCCACTCTTCGCTCCCGAACCACTCTGATTATTGAGATTCCGATCGTGAGACACGCCGCTTCTTAACGCGTCACTCGCTGTATTCCCGGAGCTACTGTACCCAGACCCTGCTCATGCCTCTCCCTCCTCTGCTTCAGTCCCTGCCTGAATACCTTTCCAAGGTAGTCGTGGGGGGATGTGGAAGTAACACATGAAACCTTCAGCAGTCAAAGTCACGAAGAAACATTTTATGATCTGTTCCACCTCCTTCAATCCTCCGGACTATCGTTTTTTATTGCTGGTCCAAATCCATACTGTAAACAGAGGTGACAGCCTCCTACAGTCGTGTTGGGCGCTTCTGTGTTGGCTTCAGGCTACATGCAGGCTCTTTTAAACTTTGTCTTTGTGAATAACTTTTGCCCTTTTTCTGAAACGTTACGAAAGCCTTATCCGTAAATACAGAACGGATTACACCCAAACAGATACGGTAGCAGCCTGTTGATGGATTACATACGTCTATGTTGTTCAGCGTTCCCGCGAGGGGGGGCGTGACTGTTTACATCTGATCCCCCTCGGACCCCAACGCACTCCCCCGCCTCCTGCGCACAGCACCAGGGTGAGTACAACTGTGGCAAACACTGCTCGCCGCCCTGTGCCGTCTGGTCGAGTGCATTACCAGTCCAAACACTGAACTGTGCTGACCTCCACTTCTACATCTGGAGCTAAAGAACAACAAACAATGGTTTTCACATTTTTGGCCAATTGAGACTGTGTGTGGTTTCCGCCACCAGCTCAAAAAATGTTTTTAAATTCTAAAAAACGGAAATCAAAACAGAACAGCAGTTAGACGGTCCAACTCTGGCAAATCTAATTTCTGTTCCCAGTAGAAATCAATCACCACATATCGACTCTGACTTATTTTAAACTTGCTATGCTTAATGTCCAGATCTATGTAGACGAATTCATTTTTAATTATTAATTTTATCACTTCTTATGATCTTGATTTTAGCTTAGGGCTGAAACATGGCTCGACCTAAATACAGAAATGCAGTTCTAATAGAAGCAACACCACCCAATTTGTTATAATTCGAATCCGAAATAACCGAGAAACAAAAGGGGGGAGGCATAGCTGCAGTTATTTAGAGAGCACTTTGTCTCCCATAAGAATGGACGCCCTTGGAAATTTTTCAAATCGTTTGCGTATAATTTCTTTAAATGGAACAAAAGCAATCATCTACTCTTTCATTGTCCTGTACAGGCCACCACAGTCCATGTGCGATTTTATTGGACCATTTTACTGAACTACTTTTCATTCGTGTGCACAGATTTTGATAGTTTAGTTATTACAGTGATTTAATGTACTAGTTAGATAAGGTTATGACAGAAATGCAAGGAGCTGGCTTCTGTATTTGAACCTTTGGTTTCATTCGGCACGTGAGTGGCCCCACCCACAGCAGGGGGCAACTCTTGACCTGCTAATACTACAAAGGGGGTTAATGTAGTCCAAATGTAATGTAGTGAGGTTGCTTTCAGATCAGTTCTGTGTATTTTTTGACATGTGTTTCTGCTTAGCAAACCACCACTGAATTTACAACTGTTAGAAGAAGACACATACATGAAGGAACACAAGTGAACTGTTCATGTGGAATCTAAATTTTGAGAACTCCATGCTCTACTGTTGATGAATTGTATAACTCTGTCCACCACCAAGTGTTCTGACTGTTTCCTGTGACGCCATTGCTGCCTGTGACGTTAAAATAGTTTACCAGTACAAAAAAGGCCCCATGACAAAGGCAGACTCGGTTAGGGCACAGAAGCAAGAGTGCCCGGAGGGCCGAACGGAAGTGGCGAATCCAATTTCCAGGGCGATTATGAAATCTGTTAAGATGAGTTGGGTGAATTTAACCGGTCTACGTAAACAAGAGAAATGTATTTTTCTGACATTATTAAGGAGGTTGAGTAACAATTTTCCGTGTTATGTTTTTCAACATTGTTGATTACGACCCCCCTGTAAAGTTTGCCCCTAGAGATTTTTTCCTCTAAATCTAGTGTAATGAGTTCGCACACAGTTTTTCGATGACAAAGTACAAGGAATCAAAAACACTATCACCTCACAGCACGATAACAATGCAAACATCCGAGAAGCTTTTTTGAGCTGTAACTCACTTTGCACCTGTGGATACTAAACGGTCAAAAAGATAATCATGAGTCTGAGCTCCTCACATTACCTGGATATATTGCCCTCTAAATTTCTGAAGTCCGTCCCTGAGCAGTTTGTTACCTTCACTGACACAAATAGTAAACAAGTTCTCTGTCGTCAGGGAACAATTTCCTAGGCCCTAAAAACAGCAGTCCATAATAACCTCTCCTAAAAAAGAGCAGCTCTGGATCCTGGCGCGACACTTCAAAATTATCCGCCGCCATATCGAATCTGCATTTATTGGAAAATTCTGAAAAAGTGGCCTCCCAACAACTGTACTGAATTTTAACAATGAATAATTCTTTTGATATGTTTCCATGTCTGGGTTTAGACCCCACCACAGCACTGAGAAACCCGCTCTAGTGAAGGTAACAAAACGACATTCGACTTCAAACTGATGCAGTTAAAGTCACAGTTTTGGGTCCATGTTAGATCTTAGTGCCGCGTTCGACACCGTCGACCAGGTGATCCCTCATCGCAGAGACTGGAGTCTGGGCTGGTGTCACTGGCACAGCCCTAGACTGGTTTAGGTCTTACCTGGAGATAGGAAGTACTCTGGGAGATTGGAGACTGCGCTCAGATATGTGGCCGCTGACCTGTGGTGTACCACAGGTCGATTCCTGACCTCGTCCTATTTAATCTTCTACATCACCCGTTAGGTCATTATTTAATACAAAGAAACAAAGTGTCCTACCACAAGTATACGCTGACGACACTCCGATCTATGTCTCACTGACTGCAGGAGAACATGGCCCACTGGAGTTGCTCCTGTCACTGTATTCCCAACAGATCAGTGACTAGGATGCAAAATTAAATTCCTCCAGCTAAATGCGAAGACAAAACCAAATCCATTGTCTTTGGTCCCCAGAAACAAGAGAAGGGCGTCATTTGTCACTTCAGTCTCTCTCCCTACTTCCTCAGACAAGGGTCAGAAATTTGGGGGTAATACTCGGACTCAGACCTAAATTTCATTAGCCACATAAAATCAATTAACATCACAGCTTTTTTACCATCTGAAGAACATTGCCAAAGTTAGAAATATTGTGTTCCAGGGCAGACTTGGAGATTGTCTTGTCCATAGGCGATTTGTCCCAGCAGGCTAGACTAATACTGCAATGGCCTGCTTTACAGGTCTGTCCAACAGACCTGTAAGCAGCTCAGTACATCCCAAGAAATGCAGACAGCTAGAGTCCGACAGGAACCAGGAATATGACCATATTAGTCCGGTCCTCAGGTCCTCTGCACTGGTCCTGGCTCAGAGAAAGATTTTAAAACGGCTCTGCATGTGTACAAGTCTCTCCAGGCCTTGCACCAATTACATTAGTTGACATGTTGGTGTCATATGAACCGGCACCGGACTCTGAGGACACAGGGACTGGCCTCCTGCTGGTGCCCAGAGTGAGAACCAAACATGGGGAGGCTTGCGTTTCAGATCCAGGCAGCTAAGATCTGGAAACAATCTCCCTGAAAATGGTAGGAGGCGTCTACTCTGTCAATGTTCAAATCCAGGTTAAAGACTGTGTCTGTTTGCCTGTGCATATAACTGAAGATTTTATCTCCATTTTTAATGCACAGCTGGGAATTCTTTTTCCATGAGGCAAAAACATGTCAATGTGGTCCATACAGTCAACTACTTTGAAACAACGGTCTTCTGCTGGCTCAGTTTGTGGCGAATAAATATATCACCCCTGCCTTGAAGATCCTATTATTGCAAACATGACAGTGGACCACAATGTATGTGACATTTGCTGTAGTGTCAGGAAACTGGTGAATTCCTTCTTCCCCAATGTTTCTGTGCTGCGATGTATTACCGTGTTTTTGGTTTAGAAGTAAGCTGGAGTTCAGCAATGCCACAGTTTCTGCAACGCTTCTTACATTCCAGACCGAACGGACGAGATTAAGGTGGATGAGTCTTTGATTGGTTATTTCAAGGTTGTATCTTTCTGACTTCCCCCACAGAGGATCCTGAAAACCATCCTGTGAGAGAGGTGAGGACCAATCTCAAAGTCTGTGAGAGAGGTGATACGATCTGCTCCTGAAGAGAACTGCAAAGCTTTCCTGTCAACGATCCTGCAAAGCTTTCCTGTCACAGTCTGACATCAGACTTTGATTTGTCGTAATAATTTTGGTTATCTATCAAGGACTGCTGCAGCCCCTCCATCTGCTCCTGAAGAGAACTGACCTTTAAGGTGAGGTCTTTGGTTATTTTGGTAATTTCCCACAGAGGACTGATCCTTGAGGACCATCTCTGCTGTGAGAGAGGTGATACGATCCTGCAAAGCTTTCCTGTCAATCTCAAAGTCTGACATCAGACTTTGATTTGTCGTAATAATTTTGTCTTTATCTATCAAGGACTGCTGCAGCCCTCCATCTGCTCCTGAAGAGAACTGACCTTTAAGGTGTAGTCTTTGGTTATTTCGGTAATTTCCCCCATAGAGGACTGATCCTTGAGGACCATCTCTTCTGTGAGAGAGGTGATACGATCCTGCAAAGCTTTCCTGTCAATCTCAAAGTCCTGACATCAGACTTTGATTTGTCGTAATAATTTTGTCTTTATCTATCAAGGACTGCTGCAGCCCCTCCATCTGCTCCTGAAGAGAACTGACCTTTAAGGTGTAGTCTTTGGTTATTTCGGTAATTTCCCCCAGAGAGGACTGATCCTTGAGGACCATCTCTGCTGTGAGAGAGGTGATACGATCCTGCAAAGCTTTCCTGTCGATCTCAAAGTCTGACATCAGACTTTGATTTGTCGTAATAATTTTGTCTTTATCTATCAAGGACTGCTGCAGCCCCTCCATCTGCTCCTGAAGAGAACTGACCTTTAAGGTGTAGTCTTTGGTTATTTCGGTAATTTCCCCCACAGAGGACTGATCCTTGAGGACCATCTCTTCTGTGAGAGAGGTGATACGATCCTGCAAAGCTTTCCTGTCAATCTCAAAGTCTGACATCAGACTTTGATTTGTCGTAATAATTTTGTCTTTATCTATCAAGGACTGCTGCAGCCCTCCATCTGCTCCTGAAGAGAACTGACCTTTAAGGTGTAGTCTTTGGTTATTTCGGTAATTTCCCCCACAGAGGACTGATCCTTGAGGACCATCTCTTCTGTGAGAGAGGTGATACGATCCTGCAAAGCTTTCCTGTCGATCTCAAAGTCTGACATCAGACTTTGATTTGTCGTAATAATTTTGTCTTTATCTATCAAGGACTGCTGCAGCCCCTCCATCTGCTCCTGAAGAGAACTGACCTTTAAGGTGTAGTCTTTGGTTATTTCGGTAATTTCCCCCACAGAGGACTGATCCTTGAGGACCATCTCTTCTGTGAGAGAGGTGATACGATCCTGCAAAGCTTTCCTGTCGATCTCAAAGTCTGACATCAGACTTTGATTTGTCGTAATAATTTTGTCTTTATCTATCAAGGACTGCTGCAGCCCCTCCATCTGCTCCTGAAGAGAACTGACCTTTAAGGTGTAGTCTTTGGTTATTTCGGTAATTTCCCCCACAGAGGACTGATCCTTGAGGACCATCTCTTCTGTGAGAGAGGTGATACGATCCTGCAAAGCTTTCCTGTCGATCTCAAAGTCTGACATCAGACTTTGATTTGTCGTAATAATTTTGTCTTTATCTATCAAGGACTGCTGCAGCCCCTCCATCTGCTCCTGAAGAGAACTGACCTTTAAGGTGTAGTCTTTGGTTATTTCGGTAATTTCCCCCACAGAGGACTGATCCTTGAGGACCATCTCTTCTGTGAGAGAGGTGATACGATCCTGCAAAGCTTTCCTGTCGATCTCAAAGTCTGACATCAGACTTTGATTTGTCGTAATAATTTTGTCTTTATCTATCAAGGACTGCTGCAGCCCCTCCATCTGCTCCTGAAGAGAACTGACCTTTAAGGTGTAGTCTTTGGTTATTTCGGTAATTTCCCCCACAGAGGACTGATCCTTGAGGACCATCTCTGCTGTGAGAGAGGTGATACGATCCTGCAAAGCTTTCCTGTCAATCTCAAAGTCTGACATCAGACTTTGATTTGTCGTAATAATTTTGTCTTTATCTATCAAGGACTGCTGCAGCCCCTCCATCTGCTCCTGAAGAGAACTGACCTTTAAGGTGTAGTCTTTGGTTATTTCGGTAATTTCCCCCACAGAGGACTGATCCTTGAGGACCATCTCTTCTGTGAGAGAGGTGATACGATCCTGCAAAGCTTTCCTGTCGATCTCAAAGTCTGACATCAGACTTTGATTTGTCGTAATAATTTTGTCTTTATCTATCAAGGACTGCTGCAGCCCCTCCATCTGCTCCTGAAGAGAACTGACCTTTAAGGTGTAGTCTTTGGTTATTTCGGTAATTTCCCCCACAGAGGACTGATCCTTGAGGACCATCTCTTCTGTGAGAGAGGTGATACGATCCTGCAAAGCTTTCCTGTCAATCTCAAAGTCTGACATCAGACTTTGATTTGTCGTAATAATTTTGTCTTTATCTATCAAGGACTGCTGCAGCCCCTCCATCTGCTCCTGAAGAGAACTGACCTTTAAGGTGTAGTCTTTGGTTATTTCGGTAATTTCCCCCACAGAGGACTGATCCTTGAGGACCATCTCTTCTGTGAGAGAGGTGATACGATCCTGCAAAGCTTTCCTGTCGATCTCAAAGTCTGACATCAGACTTTGATTTGTCGTAATAATTTTGTCTTTATCTATCAAGGACTGCTGCAGCCCCTCCATCTGCTCCTGAAGAGAACTGACCTTTAAGGTGTAGTCTTTGGTTATTTCGGTAATTTCCCCCACAGAGGACTGATCCTTGAGGACCATCTCTCTGTGAGAGAGGTGATACGATCCTGCAAAGCTTTCCTGTCGATCTCAAAGTCTGACATCAGACTTTGATTTGTCGTAATAATTTTGTCTTTATCTATCAAGGACTGCTGCAGCCCCTCCATCTGCTCCTGAAGAGAACTGACCTTTAAGGTGTAGTCTTTGGTTATTTCGGTAATTTCCCCCACAGAGGACTGATCCTTGAGGACCATCTCTTGCTGTGAGAGAGGTGATACGATCCTGCAAAGCTTTCCTGTCGATCTCAAAGTCTGACATCAGACTTTGATTTGTCGTAATAATTTTGTCTTTATCTATCAAGGACTGCTGCAGCCCCTCCATCTGCTCCTGAAGAGAACTGACCTTTAAGGTGTAGTCTTTGGTTATTTCGGTAATTTCCCCCACAGAGGACTGATCCTTGAGGACCATCTCTGCTGTGAGAGAGGTGATACGATCCTGCAAAGCTTTCCTGTCGATCTCAAAGTCTGACATCAGACTTTGATTTGTCGTAATAATTTTGTCTTTATCTATCAAGGACTGCTGCAGCCCCTCCATCTGCTCCTGAAGAGAACTGACCTTTAAGGTGTAGTCTTTGGTTATTTCGGTAATTTCCCCCACAGAGGACTGATCCTTGAGGACCATCTCTTCTGTGAGAGAGGTGATACGATCCTGCAAAGCTTTCCTGTCGATCTCAAAGTCTGACATCAGACTTTGATTTGTCGTAATAATTTTGTCTTTATCTATCAAGGACTGCTGCAGCCCCTCCATCTGCTCCTGAAGAGAACTGACCTTTAAGGTGTAGTCTTTGGTTATTTCGGTAATTTCCCCCACAGAGGACTGATCCTTGAGGACCATCTCTTCTGTGAGAGAGGTGATACGATCCTGCAAAGCTTTCCTGTCAATCTCAAAGTCTGACATCAGACTTTGATTTGTCGTAATAATTTTGTCTTTATCTATCAAGGACTGCTGCAGCCCCTCCATCTGCTCCTGAAGAGAACTGACCTTTAAGGTGTAGTCTTTGGTTATTTCGGTAATTTCCCCCACAGAGGACTGATCCTTGAGGACCATCTCTTCTGTGAGAGAGGTGATACGATCCTGCAAAGCTTTCCTGTCAATCTCAAAGTCTGACATCAGACTTTGATTTGTCGTAATAATTTTGTCTTTATCTATCAAGGACTGCTGCAGCCCCTCCATCTGCTCCTGAAGAGAACTGACCTTTAAGGTGTAGTCTTTGGTTATTTCGGTAATTTCCCCCACAGAGGACTGATCCTTGAGGACCATCTCTGCTGTGAGAGAGGTGATACGATCCTGCAAAGCTTTCCTGTCGATCTCAAAGTCTGACATCAGACTTTGATTTGTCGTAATAATTTTGTCTTTATCTATCAAGGACTGCTGCAGCCCCTCCATCTGCTCCTGAAGAGAACTGACCTTTAAGGTGTAGTCTTTGGTTATTTCGGTAATTTCCCCACAGAGGACTGATCCTTGAGGACCATCTCTGCTGTGAGAGAGGTGATACGATCCTGCAAAGCTTTCCTGTCAATCTCAAAGTCTGACATCAGACTTTGATTTGTCGTAATAATTTTGTCTTTATCTATCAAGGACTGCTGCAGCCCCTCCATCTGCTCCTGAAGAGAACTGACCTTTAAGGTGTAGTCTTTGGTTATTTCGGTAATTTCCCCCACAGAGGACTGATCCTTGAGGACCATCTCTTCTGTGAGAGAGGTGATACGATCCTGCAAAGCTTTCCTGTCGATCTCAAAGTCTGACATCAGACTTTGATTTGTCGTAATAATTTTGTCTTTATCTATCAAGGACTGCTGCAGCCCCTCCATCTGCTCCTGAAGAGAACTGACCTTTAAGGTGTAGTCTTTGGTTATTTCGGTAATTTCCCCCACAGAGGACTGATCCTTGAGGACCATCTCTGCTGTGAGAGAGGTGATACGATCCTGCAAAGCTTTCCTGTCGATCTCAAAGTCTGACATCAGACTTTGATTTGTCGTAATAATTTTGTCTTTATCTATCAAGGACTGCTGCAGCCCCTCCATCTGCTCCTGAAGAGAACTGACCTTTAAGGTGTAGTCTTTGGTTTATTTCGGTAATTTCCCCACAGAGGACTGATCCTTGAGGACCATCTCTTCTGTGAGAGAGGTGATACGATCCTGCAAAGCTTTCCTGTCGATCTCAAAGTCTGACATCAGACTTTGATTTGTCGTAATAATTTTGTCTTTATCTATCAAGGACTGCTGCAGCCCCTCCATCTGCTCCTGAAGAGAACTGACCTTTAAGGTGTAGTCTTTGGTTATTTCGGTAATTTCCCCCACAGAGGACTGATCCTTGAGGACCATCTCTTCTGTGAGAGAGGTGATACGATCCTGCAAAGCTTTCCTGTCAATCTCAAAGTCTGACATCAGACTTTGATTTGTCGTAATAATTTTGTCTTTATCTATCAAGGACTGCTGCAGCCCCTCCATCTGCTCCTGAAGAGAACTGACCTTTAAGGTGTAGTCTTTGGTTATTTCGGTAATTTCCCCCACAGAGGACTGATCCTTGAGGACCATCTCTGCTGTGAGAGAGGTGATACGATCCTGCAAAGCTTTCCTGTCGATCTCAAAGTCTGACATCAGACTTTGATTTGTCGTAATAATTTTGTCTTTATCTATCAAGGACTGCTGCAGCCCCTCCATCTGCTCCTGAAGAGAACTGACCTTTAAGGTGTAGTCTTTGGTTATTTCGGTAATTTCCCCCACAGAGGACTGATCCTTGAGGACCATCTCTTCTGTGAGAGAGGTGATACGATCCTGCAAAGCTTTCCTGTCGATCTCAAAGTCTGACATCAGACTTTGATTTGTCGTAATAATTTTGTCTTTATCTATCAAGGACTGCTGCAGCCCCTCCATCTGCTCCTGAAGAGAACTGACCTTTAAGGTGTAGTCTTTGGTTATTTCGGTAATTTCCCCCACAGAGGACTGATCCTTGAGGACCATCTCTTCTGTGAGAGAGGTGATACGATCCTGCAAAGCTTTCCTGTCAATCTCAAAGTCTGACATCAGACTTTGATTTGTCGTAATAATTTTGTCTTTATCTATCAAGGACTGCTGCAGCCCCTCCATCTGCTCCTGAAGAGAACTGACCTTTAAGGTGTAGTCTTTGGTTATTTCGGTAATTTCCCCCACAGAGGACTGATCCTTGAGGACCATCTCTTCTGTGAGAGAGGTGATACGATCCTGCAAAGCTTTCCTGTCGATCTCAAAGTCTGACATCAGACTTTGATTTGTCGTAATAATTTTGTCTTTATCGATCAAGGACTGCTGCAGCCCCTCCATCTGCTCCTGAAGAGAACTGACCTTTAAGGTGTAGTCTTTGGTTATTTCGGTAATTTCCCCCACAGAGGACTGATCCTTGAGGACCATCTCTTCTGTGAGAGAGGTGATACGATCCTGCAAAGCTTTCCTGTCGATCTCAAAGTCTGACATCAGACTTTGATTTGTCGTAATAATTTTGTCTTTATCTATCAAGGACTGCTGCAGCCCCTCCATCTGCTCCTGAAGAGAACTGACCTTTAAGGTGTAGTCTTTGGTTATTTCGGTAATTTCCCCCACAGAGGACTGATCCGTTGAGGACCATCTCTTCTGTGAGAGAGGTGATACGATCCTGCAAAGCTTTCCTGTCGATCTCAAAGTCTTGACATCAGACTTTGATTTGTCGTAATAATTTTGTCTTTATCTATGCTCCAAGGACTGACCTTTAGGTGTAGCTGCAGCCCCTCCATCTGCTCCTGAAGAGAAAGCTTTCCTGTGACCAAAGTTTAAGGTGTAAAAGTCTTTGGTTCCATTTTGACCTTAAGGGTAATTTTATTTCCCCCACAGAGGACTGATCCTTGAGGACCATCTCTTCTGTGAGAGAGGTGATACGATCCTGCAAAGCTTTCCTGTCGATCTCAAAGTCTGACATCAGACTTTGATTTGTCGTAATAATTTTGTCTTTATCTATCAAAGACTGCTGCAGCCCCTCCATCTGCTCCTGAAGAGAACTGACCTTTAAGGTGTAGTCTTTGGTTATTTCGGTAATTTCCCCCACAGAGGACTGATCCTTAAGGACCATCTCTTCTGTGAGAGAGGTGATACGATCCTGCAAAGCTTTCTTGTTGATCTCAAAGTCTGACATCAGACTTTGATTTGTCGTAATAATTTTGTCTTTATCGATCAAGGACTGCTGCAGCCCCTCCATCTGCTCCTGAAGAGAACTGACCTTTAAGGTGTAGTCTTTGGTTATTTCGGTAATTTCCCCCACAGAGGACTGATCCATGAGGACCATCTCTTCTGTGAGAGAGGTGATACGATCCTGCAAAGCTTTCCTGTCGATCTCAAAGTCTGACATCAGACTTTGATTTGTCGTAATAATTTTGTCTTTATCTATCAAGGACTGCTGCAGCCCCTCCATCTGCTCCTGAAGAGAACTGACCTTTAAGGTGTAGTCTTTGGTTATTTCGATAATTTCCCCCACAGAGGACTGATCGTTGAGGACCATCTCTTCTGTGAGAGAGGTGATACGATCCTGCAAAGCTTTCCTGTCAATCTCAAAGTCTGACATCAGACTTTGATTTGTCGTAATAATTTTGTCTTTATCTATCAAGGACTGCTGCAGCCCCTCCATCTGCTCCTGAAGAGAACTGACCTTTAAGGTGTAGTCTTTGGTTATTTTGGTAATTTCCCCCACAGAGGACTGATCCTTGAGGACCATCTCTTCTGTGAGAGAGGTGATACGATCCTGCAAAGCTTTCCTGTCGATCTCAAAGTCTGACATCAGACTTTGATTTGTCGTAATAATTTTGTCTTTATCTATCAAAGACTGCTGCAGCCCCTCCATCTGCTCCTGAAGAGAACTGACCTTTAAGGTGTAGTCTTTGGTTATTTCGGTAATTTCCCCCACAGAGGACTGATCCTTAAGGACCATCTCTTCCGTGAGAGAGGTGATACGATCCTGCAAAGCTTTCTTGTTGATCTCAAAGTCTGACATCAGACTTTGATTTGCCGTAATAATTTTGTCTTTATCTATCAAGGACTGCTGCAGCCCCTCCATCTGCTCCTGAAGAGAACTGACCTTTAAGGTGTAGTCTTTGGTTATTTCGGTAATTTCCCCCACAGAGGACTGATCGTTGAGGACCATCTCTTCTGTGAGAGAGGTGATACGATCCTGCAAAGCTTTCCTGTCGATCTCAAAGTCTGACATCAGACTTTGATTTGTCGTAATAATTTTGTCTTTATCTATCAAGGACTGCTGCAGCCCCTCCATCTGCTGCTGAAGAGAACTGACCTTTAAGGTGTAGTCTTTGGTTATTTCGGTAATTTCCCCCACAGAGGACTGATCGTTGAGGACCATCTCTTCTGTGAGAGAGGTGATACGATCCTGCAAAGCTTTCCTGTCAATCTCAAAGTCTGACATCAGACTTTGATTTGTCGTAATAATTTTGTCTTTATCTATCAAGGACTGCTGCAGCCCTTCCATCTGCTCCTGAAGAGAACTGACCTTTAAGGTGTAGTCTTTGGTTATTTCGGTAATTTCCCCCACAGAGGTCTGATCCTTGAGGACCATCTCTTCTGTGAGAGAGGTGATACGATCCTGCAAAGCTTTCCTGTCAATCTCAAAGTCTGACATCAGACTTTGATTTGTCGTAATAATTTTGTCTTTATCGATCAAGGACTGCTGCAGCCCCTCCATCTGCTCCTGAAGAGAACTGACCTTTAAGGTGTAGTCTTTGGTTATTTCGGTAATTTCCCCCACAGAGGGACTGATCCTTGAGGACCATCTCTGCTGTGAGAGAGGTGATACGATCCTGCAAAGCTTTCCTGTCAATCTCAAAGTCTGACATCAGACTTTGATTTGTCGTAATAATTTTGTCTTTATCGATCAAGGACTGCTGCAGCCCCTCCATCTGCTCCTGAAGAGAACTGACCTTTAAGGTGTAGTCTTTGGTTATTTCGGTAATTTCCCCCACAGAGGACTGATCGTTGAGGACCATCTCTTCTGTGAGAGAGGTGATACGATCCTGCAAAGCTTTCCTGTCAATCTCAAAGTCTGACATCAGACTTTGATTTGTCGTAATAATTTTGTCTTTATCTATCAAGGACTGCTGCAGCCCCTCCATCTGCTCCTGAAGAGAACTGACCTTTAAGGTGTAGTCTTTGGTTATTTCGGTAATTTCCCCCACAGAGGACTGAGCCATGAGGACCATCTCTTCTGTGAGAGAGGTGATACGATCCTGCAAAGCTTTCCTGTCAATCTCAAAGTCTGACATCAGACTTTGATTTGTCGTAATAATTTTGTCTTTATCTATCAAGGACTGCTGCAGCCCATCCATCTGCTGCTGAAGAGAACTGACCTTTAAGGTGTAGTCTTTGGTTATTTCGGTAATTTCCCCCACAGAGGACTGATCCTTGAGGACCATCTCTGCTGTGAGAGAGGTGATACGATCCTGCAAAGCTTGCCTGTCAATCTCAAAGTCTGACATCAGACTTTGATTTGCCGTAATAATTTTGTCTTTATCTATCAAGGACTGCTGCAGCCCCTCCATCTGCTCCTGAAGAGAACTGACCTTTAAGGTGTAGTCTTTGGTTATTTCGGTAATTTCCCCCACAGAGGACTGATCCTTGAGGACCATCTCTTCTGTGAGAGAGGTGATACGATCCTGCAAAGCTTTCCTGTCAATCTCAAAGTCTGACATGAGACTTTGATTTGTCGTAATAATTTTGTCTTTATCTATCAAGGACTGCTGCAGCCCCTCCATCTGCTCCTGAAGTCTTCTGACCTTTAGTGTACAATTATTTGATATTCTGGCCTTTTCCTTCATGTGCACCTGATCCTTGTGGACCCTCTCTTCATTAAGAATGGCGCAATGGTCAATCAAAGTGGTCCTGTCCTTCTCTAGTTGTAACATTCTACTTTGATTTTCTGCAATCATTACATCCCTTTCTCTTAAGGACTGCTGCAGCCAATCCATCTGCTTCTCAAGAGAAAGAAAGGTGTTACAGCGCTTAGCAGCACAGGCCTGACTCTTTCCCCTTTGCTTTCTCTCCTGCTGCTGAGAAGTCGTCTGCTCCTCTCTGGTGATGTGGGTCCTCGCACATTCCTCTCTCAATTTTCTAATCTGGTACTCGAGCACATTGATCCTCGCAATATAACTATCAATCTTGTGTTGTACACATGTGTCTTTGCTGCAGATGCTTTCACTAAAGGTAACATTGAGAGTGGAATGATGATGAAGCTCGGACGATCCAGCGGTGTGTTTGGGGACGACCATCTGAGAACACTTGTAGCTCTCATTCACATATTTCAGAGCTTGGTCCAGAGGACAGCGGCCGTCATCGGACGAGTCATTACTGCTATCACTATCCATGACTACTGATGTTAAATCAACGGAGATATGTGCCTACTGCTGTCTGTGCCCCACTTTGAAGCAGATAAGTCTCTGTCCAAGACGGACAACCAAAGGACTCTCTCTGCAGGGCCAGACCTATATGTGTTCAAGACATAGAGGTTGCCTAGCAACGAGCTAGTCATTTCATTCCGGAATTCCAATCACATCACAGATTGTTGCCATGGTAACCAAGCAAATGTTGTGAGCAGTGTTGGTCCAACTCATCCGGAAAAGTAATCAGATTACTTTAGTAATCAGATTACTTTTCAATTCATTTTATTTTTGCGATTGTTTATATTAATATGGAGTTGTATAATAATACATTTTCACAGCTTTAAAACAGTCATAATAACTGCTATGAAGATCCTGGGTTCAAATCCTGGTCAGAACAGGATCTTTCTGAGTGGAGTTTACATGTTCTCCCCATGCCTGCGTTGGTTTCCTCCGGGTGCTCCGGTTTCCCTTACCACAAAAAAATAACTTTCTCTCTTCGTGGGTATATGTGAAATGGAGATGTCAACCTCGGCTCACCATCAGAGTCTCCATCTATGCCAGCTTCTTCAGCAGGATGATCGATGAGCTGCTCCTGGGGTGCCTCGCACTCCGCTGCCACCGGATCACCTTCAGTTGAGCTGTTCTGGTCATCTGAGTGATGAGGGTCCTCAGTCTCGGGTACCTGTGGGCATTGCTCCAGCTCAGGCTCCGGAATCAGCTCCTGCGCTCTGCTGTCCTCACGGCTCTGCAGACGGGGAGATCTCCACACCAGGGCTCCTTCAGCATCACTGTCTGAATCTGCATTGTCTTGGAATGTCTCTTGTCTTATATTTGTTTGCGTCTTCTTCTTTCGACTCCTCAGCTGTTTGTTGTCAGGTTTTTCTATAGGTAAACTGTCACATGGGAGGAGCAAGTTTCTGTTCACTGTGCGACTTTTACCTCCTTGTTCTGGTTTTATCTCATAAACAGGCATATCAGGGTGTTTCTGGGCGACTATCACATACACCATATCTTTCCAGTGAGCGGAGTTTGCCGGGACCCCTTTTTCTATAAAATTTCGGAGGAGAACCCTGTTACCTGGAAACAGCTGCACCCATGAATCTTTTTGTCATAATAGTGTTTGCCTCTTGAAGCTTCTTTCTGTGCTGCTTTAGATGCAATCTGATAGGCTTCGCTCATTTGTGCCTGCCATTTTTGCACATACTCTTCATTTTTAGCTGATTTGTTTGTCTTTGCTTGGAAGGTTGAATAGAATGTCTATTGGTAGTCTGGGGCTGCGGCCAAAAACCTTTGCCAGTGATTCTTTCCAGTATGCTTTTTCACCATCAGTCAGAGTCCTGAGCATGGAGAGCAGGGTTCTGTTGAAACGTTCCACCTGCCCATTCCCCTGCGGGTGGTACGGTGTGGTGTGAGAGCTGCGTAGACCACAGACTTGTTGGAGCTGGGCAAACAGTTGATGTTCAAATTCTCTGCCTATGTCATGGTGGATTCTGACAGGAAAACCAAACTTTAAAGCAAAGTCATTAACAATTTTTCTGCAACTGTTTTAGCTGATTTGTTCTTTGTGGCATAAACTTGTGCAAAACGTGTAAAATGATCCATTACCACCAGGATGTATTCATATCCATGCTTACATGTCTCTAAATGCTGACAGTTTCTTGACACCAGTTTGTTCCATTGCCTGAGGAGGATTTCACATCGGGTGTCTCATTTTTAATGCTTGGCCTCAGGGGTAAGTACTCACAGATCTTGTAGTGTATAACTGGGCCAATGACGGAGTCTTTTTCTTGACTGGTCCTTATATCTGTGGGTGTGAAGGACTTGTCTGGAAGAGGTGGTGTGTCTTGGACCATGCCAATGGTGATTTCACTGAAGGTGCAGCTCTCAGGCCCTGTGATCTTTTTCTGCAAACAAACACTGTCAGCTGCTGCCTTTACAACATCTCACAACGTCTCACTTCGGCTGTGCATTGTGACATGTACTGCTCCCACTTTAAAGCTAGAAATTCAAGCTTTCCAGAATGCATGTGACAATTCTTTTCTGGGGGGGTAAGTGTGCGGGAACCGTAGGCTATTACTCTCAGTTTGCCTGTTTGGTGTTGGTACAAGACGGCTCCTAAACCGTCCTGGGATGCATCACAGTGGAGTATAAAGGGCTGTGCAAAATCTGGGTACCCTAAGATGGGTGGCTCTTAAAACAGTCTGTGAGCTTGTTTAAAGTCTCTTGGTGGTTTTCAGTCCATGTTATGAGTGTGCCAGGGGGTGGTCGGCCTTTATGTTTTGCACTAACCTTTTTGTTTTTTGTCTTGGTTACAGGCAGTGGTCTTTGATCTGGAGACAGGGTGAGGAGCTGATACAGTGGTTTAGCTATTTTGGAGAAGTTTGGGATGTACAAACGGTAATAGGACAGGAATCCCAAAAGTCTGCTCAGCTCACCTACTGTAGTTGGTGGTTTGTCTTTGAGTGCCATGACTGGGGCAATTTCAGCTGGATCCATCGTGTAACCCTGCTCTGACACCATACGACCCAGGAATCGGACCTGTCTCGTAAACACATCACACTTATGAGGAGTAAGCTTTACACCATGTGTTTGGCACCACTGTAGCACATCACGAAAATGCTGCACATGAGTCTGGAATGATGTAGAGTGCACAACATTGTCATCTAAATGTGGCTGACAGATTATATCACGCAGTCCTTTCAGACAGTCCTCGATGCTCCATTGAAACTCTGCAGGTTCTGAACTCAGGCCAAACGGTATACGGTTCCACTGATACAGGCCCCATGGAGTTATAAAGGCTGTCAGGGGCCGGCTCTCTGAATCTAAAAAGCCCTGATGATAGGCTTTGGCCTGGTCAAGCACTGAGAACCAGGAGCTGCCATGCAAAGAGTCTATCATGTCCTGAATCCTTGGAATGGGATGCCTGTCGGGTACAGATTTCCTGTTCAGTTCTCTGTAGTCACAACACAGTCTCAGTTCACCTGTCTTTTTCCTGACACAGACGATGGGGGATGAATATGATGACCTTGACTCTGAAATCCACCCTCGGTTTAGCAGATCTTGGAGATAGTCCTTTACTTCTTGATGCAGGGGCTTTGGAACTGAAACATTAGTCTTTTTCACAGTGGTAGTGTCGTGGAGGTTGATATGCATGCTTAAAGAAGGAGTACATCGAACATCTTGGTCATTGTATGCAAAATCATGATATTCCTTTCTCAGTAGCTGCCTTACTTCATTCTGCTGGATTGGACAAAGACAACAAGCTTAACTTGGGGATCCCACTGATTTGGTTTGGGGTGGGATTGGGCCTTATTGGTGATCTCATTAATGTGAGCGCGTGTACCAGTGTCGCTCTCGGGCCCCTCCATCTTCTGCTTCCATCTTTTGATTATTAATTTGATAACTGCTTTTATTTCTTTTAAGTGACCCAAAATGGTGCGAGCTGGCACGGTAAGATCTTGTTTATTGGCATTCGCAATGGCGATGGGAATGTATACTGACCTTCCTTCTGTGACACTAACCAGTCCTTCTTGTATTGCCAGGCCTTCTGATAACTGGGGCAGTTCACCTGGAATGAAGAGAAGACTCTGGCCTGCATACTGGGCTGCTACATTTGCTCGGACATACGTGGTGCTTATTTGAGCTGCAGGCAGGCATATTTCTTTCTTGCCTGTGTGAACTGTCCCGACACTGTTATTGTCACTGGTTGGCTGCAGCAATTTAACCATTGACCTGGCTGTCTTGACTGAAACAGAGAATGTTTGACTGATTTTATGTATACCTTTTGCCTTTAAATGTCCTTTTCCCCACTTGCCAACTACTTCTTCTATTACATTGAAGCCGATAATAGGCTGTTCTGCAACAGTGGAATCACAAGCAACCAATAGGGGAACATATAGGGTCTTGGTGGGGTGAGAATCACAGTCCAATATAAATTCTGCTTCAACCCAGCCTATGTATGGTATTTCACTCCCATTAGCAGCTACTGCTACAACTGGTTCTGATAAGAGTTCAGATAGAGGTCTAAGGGTGCTATGAGGGAGGTATTTCTTTCTTCCTCATTTATTAAACTAGCTTGAGCCCCTGTGTCCCATAAAGCTTCCACTGGCACATTGTTGAGATGGCACTGGACTACACATCTTTGTCCGATGAGGTTGATGAGCTGTGTTTGTCGTTGTGAGGGTATGTAACTGTCGGACTTTGGTGAACTTTCAGGGCAGGACCGCATGGAGTTGATTTGGGACCTGATAGGTGGCTGGGCTACTGTTGATCCCTCCTCAGCAGCCCCCCTTCCGTTTCTCTGCAGTGGTCTACCTTGTCTGCAACCACGGGAAAGATGGCCTTCTTGTCCGCACCGGAAACAATGTTGGCATGTATCACCAGCCCCAGCTTCTCTGCACACTTGACATCCTTTAGCTCGAACAGGTGTGCGCTTGGGTGTGGTCGCTGCAGATTCAGTGTATAGTCTCTGTATTTCCAGTACCTCTGCTCTGAGTCCTTCAATTAGCTTAACAGTCTCTGGGTCTGGCCCTCTGCCTTGTGGCTCTTGATTTGTATTACTTTTATCCCCAACTTTAATCTTTCTTTCCGCTTGTGTGCTATTGCCGCTGTCTTGTGGTGCATGGTTGTTGCTGGGTTGCACCTCTGCTTGTATCTCATAGACCCTGGGTGTTTTTACTGCGGTGTGTCTTTTAAACTAATAATAATAATAATAATAATATCTTTAATTTGTAATGCACTTTACATACAAATCTCAAAGTGCTACAGCACAACAACAATAAAAGCATACATCATTAAAGTTAAAACAGTGTTAAAACAATGTTAAGAAGGAAACAGAAAAGTTTTAAGTCCTCTTTTGAAGTTCTCCAATGACTGTGGGGCCCTCAGGTGTGGTGGTAGGGCGTTCCACAGTTTGGGAGCAGCCGCCTGGAAAGCCCTGTCACCCATTGTCCGGAGTTTAGTTCTGGGGATGGAGAGGAGGTTGGTGTCTGTGGACCGGAGTGCTCTGGTTATGGGCGGAGGAGCGAGAAGTTCTGTGAGATAGTCCGGGGCATGTCCGTGGATGCATTGGTAGGTGAGGAGGCAGATTTTGTATTGGATGCGTTGGATGATTGGAAGCCAGTGAAGATCGCGGAGGACTGGGATGATGTGCTGGTGCTTCGGCGTCCTCGTCAGGATCCTGGCAGCGATATTTGGGATATGCTGAAGCTTTTGAAGGTTTTTTGCCGGGATCCCGACGAGGAGGGCGTTGCAGTAATCCAGCCTGGAAGAGACAAAGGCATGAACTAAAGTTTCAGCGTCAGAGGGGGAGAGAGTGGAGCGGAGTTTGGAGATGTTTTTGAGATGAAAAAAGGAGATTCTACAGAGATTTTGGATATGGTGTTCAAATGACAGGATGGGGTCAAAAATGACTCCCAGGTTGCGGAGAGTGGGGGAGAGGGGCAGGGTGAGACCGGAGAATGCAATACCAGAGATGGGGGGGATTTGAGTTGGTGGGGGGTTCCGATAAGAATAGCCTCAGTTTTGGAATGGTTTAGTTGTAAGAAGTTTTCTGCCATCCATGCCTTTGTCTCCTCCAGGCAGGCTGCCAGAGCTGAGTGTGGGGCTGATGTGGAGACAGAGTTAGTGCGCAGGTAGAGCTGAGTATCATCGGCATAGCAATGGAAGGAGATACCATGCTTGCCGATGATGTGGCCGAGGAGGAGCATGTAGATGTTAAATAGGGTAGGGCCAAGGACCGTGTTGTAAATGAGCTGTATTCTGTTCTATTCACATCCAACAGGAATGCTGACCAGGACACAAAGAAGCAGGCTTGCTTTTTATGTTAAGAGTCTAGGATCATAGGTCAGATGGACATATATGGTAACGGTAAATGTTAGTATTTAACCCAGTTTAGTTTTCTATTCTGGGTCTTCTGGCGTTGAGCCTGAATCAGAGAGGAGACCCAGGCAGAAGAGCTCTTTGCCTGAATTG